GCAGGATTTGCATTTCGGTTGGCATTGCCGGGATGAGCTTATAAGGAGTACTAAGTCCTTAGTTCTGTACCTTGCAAGAAACTATAGGGGCCTAGGCATAGCCTTGGAAGATTTACTTCAGGTTTGTTAAGTGCATACTGCATTAGTCCTACATTTTATGTGCATGGTCATTCACCTTGTTTAATTCATTTACTTTGTGAAATTGTATGGAATTGATTTCCTTGGATGTCAAATGGATGAATTCAAATTTGTTACAAGTTACCACTTTCCACATCCCAGAAAAAAGCGAGGATGAAAACATCGGTATCTATGTAAATATCTTACTTTAATTTAGGAATATTTCGACAGACAGCGTAAATATTGGAAAATTTTAGGAACAATCTCTATCAATTCTAAATAAAAGCATTTGATTTGTGGACATTTCGGTCTCTAAAAAAAACACATCTGTGTGGTCGTTTACGAACATATTGACAGAAATATCGAAATATTTTTTCGTCCAGGATAAAAAGGTCTGATTTGCATTGCTTTCAATTCTTTGTTGGCCATTGATCTTCATGGACATAAACTACATAGGCACCATGAAACAACAACAACAACAACAATAACAAGCCTTACTCCCAACTTAACATAGGCACCATGAAAAAGCTAGAAAATTTGCATCTTAAAGACATACAGTAAGTGTTATAAAGGAAATCTCTTGTCTAAAAATTATATTGTCGATGAAGACATTGTAGATCAAATATTGCCATGCATTCATTGTCAAAGTTAGTAAGAGTTGATACATTTTAAGTCCTTATCATAGAAACCATGAAACGAAATGAAGGTAAGATGAAGGCTGTGGTGGCAGTAGGGCATAAAAACTTGCATAGATTTGGCCAAATATGACGATATATTTCAATCAGCATATCATTTGTGTGCTTATTATATCTCTTAGGCTGGAAAAAAAGGCGTCTTGCAAGGTGCAGAAAGATTTGACCATACAAGAGGTTACAGATTCTCAACTTATGTCCAGTACTGGATAAGGAAATCGATGTCTCAATTGGTGGCGCGTCACGCTAGAGGGATACTAGTTCCTGTATGTTCCTCTCTGATCCAAGAAACTGTTTCTTCAAACAATGTCACATGTGAATGTGGTGGCTGATCAACATGTTGGTTTTCTTTTGTGTGTTTTTAGGGGACGTTAAGCAAGGCGATAAATCAGATACAGAAAACCCGAAAAGCGATCAGCAACAGCCAGAGGAAGCCCCCGGATGACAATGAGATTGCAAAGCTCACAGGCCTGTCTTTGGATAAAATCAGATCGGCTGGCAATTGCCTGAGAGTGGTTGGTTCGATTGATCATAAGATTGGGGACTGCTTTTCAGGAAAAAACATGGTATGTTTTCTGCCCTTTCCTATAGAAGTTAACTTTTCTTCAAGCAACTTCTTTAAAAAATTATATATATATCTCCTGGCATTTGATGGAATAGTAAAGATTCGTCCTTCTCCTCATTAAGATCTTGTATTTGAGTTAGTCCTGTCATACAAGATAATATAAACAATTCATTTCACAGTATGTTATACAACTTTTTAATTAGACTTTCACATATTCAACCGTTAAAAAATTAATAATAGTTAAAACATCGGTTCCTGTTGTCTATAATTTCGTTAAAATTAATTTTATGTGTTTGCATTATTTTCCTGCGCATTAAGTCAATAATAGAGAATAAATTATTCTTCTCAATGTTGTTTTCAATAGTTTTTTTTTTCTCTGACTTCAAATTCTATTCTTCATGTTGAAGGAATTCATGGCGGATATGTCAATAAAGACTCCTGAGGAGACTGTTATGAGACAACACATGAAAAGTGACATTCACAATCTTCTAGAAACCTTAGACCCAAGAGAGAGGCAAGTTTTGGTCTTACGTTATGGGCTTATAAACTGCCAGCCCAAGTCACTTGAGGAGATTGGGAAGCTTTTCAAAGTGAGCAAGGAATGGATAAGGAAGATTGAAAAGAAAGCTTTGACAAAGCTTAGAGATGAAACCAACGAAGATTTTAGCCATTACCTAAACCTATAGTTTCAGTTCATTAACTTGAGAAATGTCCAATACCTTTTTTCACATGAAAATACTAGAAGATTGAATTTATAAACTTTTTCCGTTACCATTTTTCTTTGGACTAAAATTCAAATATTCATAATTACGGCTCATCTTAAAGCGGTGCCTCACTACTACTAGACTAACAAACTTTTTAGTTTTTTTTTTCTTTGTACTAATTATGCATACATATGTTGTACTATATATAAACATAAATAAATGACATTTTTTTTAGGTCGGTTGTCTATTTCATTTCCTTCATTGGTGTTTGGTCTTGACATTCAATACTCATGTGGTGTAGATTTTTTTGTCAAAGGGGTATATCAGCAATTGACGTCTATGAAATGGTTTTAGAATTTTTATTCCCCCTTTTCAAAGTGGTGTCATAACAGAATGACCACGTATAAGGTTTTACGGTTATGAAGTAGCCACTTGTGCGATTTTTGACAGCAGATTCAAGACACCACATTAATTACTTTTGTTGCATTTACTCTTAGTATATCCTCCGAGTTATGACTTTTTTTTTTTTTTTTCTTTTTTTGGCGCTATTTCATGAAACTTCGAGAGGTTGCCTTCTTAGAATCTAGCCTGAAAAAGGGTGGGAAAACGTTTTGATTGTGTTTGAAGTTTTTTTTTTTTGTTTTTTGTTTTTTACTTTGAGAAAAAAAAATAAAAATAAAAGAAAAACGGTTTTTGGTATAATTAAATATAAAAAATAAAAATAAAAATAATTTTTTGATTTAGTGTAAAATAGAAGAGAAATAAAAAATAACTTTTAGTCATTTTTTATTTTTTGTTTCATTTTCCTCTTCTCTCGAGCAGAGAGGGAGAGAGACATTAATAGATTTTTTTATACTGAAAATAATCTTTTAATAAAACTAACAAATGCATTTTTAAAAATGATTTCTGTCTGAGATTAAAAATGTTTTCATTTCCATTTTCATACAAAAAATAAAATCATTTTAAAATAAGTTCCAAATACACTCTTTATTTCTTTTCTTTTTCTTATTCTTTTTGTTATTTTTCCCCTTATCTAAATGGTTTCTTTTTGTTAAAAAAAAAGTGAAAAATTTCATTCAATAATGGACCTTGATATACTTAAATGACCGCTAAATATAATGGTATTTGACCAACAAATATTAGATCCACAAATAAGACAAATGAGAATTAATCACAAATAAAGACGAATGAGGCTTATTAAGTGGTTTCTACGGCATTCCTATTTTATATATTTCTGAGCGATAAACCTAATGATAAGTTTACGCTATTATTTGTTATTTGGAGGTTAACTTAAATGATTGGGTGCATGAATATGAATATGTGTGCGTGTTTATTAATATTTTAATAATGATGGTTTCATTTTGTTAAATAAAGTGAGGGCCATATAATCATTTATGACATTATTTTTTATTCAAAAATAATATTTTGAATTATAAATTAATTTTACTTATTTATATGAAAATAATTGAATATATAAATGCTATACATGTTCAAGCTCAAGTTCATGATTAAATTACATCTTTAATAACTTGTTTTTGAACTTCAGAATTATCCTAAACATTGTATACAAACAACACCCTTGTCTTACAGCTAAGCTAGTCTTCAAATCTTCAAATTGAAAAAAAAGGGTTGAAAATACTCCTAATATTCCAAATCAAAAACAGAGAAGAAAAAATCAACATATCCACAATTAAATTCAAAAAACTTTATGACAAGCAAAAAAGAGATTTGAGTTTTGTTATAATAAAAAACTCTAAAAAATAATCACATATAATTTTTTTATTATAATAAAATATTTTCACATAAAATCACATCTCAACTTAAATTAAACGGGCCTTAAACACTCACCATTTCTCTACCATCCAAACCATGAAATTCTCAGCAAAAAAACATGAAAAAGGCTTGGGTGACTCATCTTGCGCTGGCCTGGTCTGTTTCCATTTTGACACGTGTTCCTTTGCCTTTTATTTTCCGTAACAATCCCTCAATTCCGTTAAGAAAACAACCTTTTCACCCGAGATCCGATCACGGTCCTCACGGATCAAGTGGAATCCAAGACCTCGCTGAAAAAGCAAGTCAAACGTCTTGTTTGTGACGAAACTACCTCCTCGACGGGTGATTCTTGGCTAAACGAATTCTTTAAAAAAAAAAAAAAAAAAAACTCGGTGTCTCATATGGTGTCGTTTTCTTTTGGACGAAACAAAAGGTTTTAGTTATTATTTGTCCGTTTGCCTAAAGATGTCGTTTGGTCGTTTTCGTTATCTCGTTTTTTCTATTTTCTCTCTCTGGAGCGTGGAGAACCGTTGGCTCATCGCCACGGTTATGATCAGGAATGCTCGCCCCCACGTGTACACAACCGACATGCCTTGGGTCCCACCAGGTCCTGTCAAAGAAAACGCAGAGAGAGTCGTAAATCGGACCAATAAGCGTCGCCTTGAACGCGAGCTCATGTGAGCATGATCGTATCTGATAACTTCGTTAACCTCACTAAGCTAAACCTTCCCCCAAAAGCAAAAAGTTGATAAAGGTTCTGTCTTCCCCACTGGTTTTCTTCTCTCTCTCTCTCTCTCTCTCTCTCTAGCAAGGCAAATATCTTAGGGTTTTCAGAAGAGACCTAAATGCAGAAAGCAATGAAGATTTCTTCCTTTTCTGTTTGAATTTCTATGGAGTTTTGTTCTCCGATGGTGGTTTCCCCGTTTGGTCTTCTGCTAGGGTTCCGAGTCCAATTAGCTTCAGAATCAAAATCTCCAATCTAATGACTGACTCTGCCAGTGAATGGCTCGGCTTCGCTGCTTTCCTTCTCTCCATTTCGCCATTTTTTGCTTCTTCGCAGCGAGCTTCCTCGGCCTCGCCGCTTCGTTCGCGGAATTTTCCATAACCGATTTGGATTGGAACCTCTTTCACCAGGATTACGCGCCGCCGGCACCGCCGCCGCCGCCGCCGCACGGGCCGTCGGTCTCGTGCGATGACGACCTCGGCGGCGTCGGCTCGCTGGACGCCACTTGTCAGATAGTGAACGATTTGAACCTCACCGGCGATGTGTACATACAAGGGAAGGGCAATTTTTATATCCTGCCCGGGGTGAGGGTTCACTGCGCTACTGCTGGATGCTTTTTAACCGTTAACATTTCTGGTACTTTTAGCTTAGGGAACTCGTCGTCGATTGTGGCCGGGGGATTCGAGCTCGCGGCCAGCAATGCGAGCTTTTTGAATGGCTCGGTGGTGAGCACGACGGCGATGGCGGGAGATCCGCCCCCGCAAACGAGTGGGACGCCGCAGGGGATAGACGGTGGGGGTGGAGGGCACGGCGGGCGGGGCGCGTGCTGCTTGGTCGACAAGAAGAAGCTGCCGGAGGACGTGTGGGGCGGCGATGCCTATGCATGGTCGTCGCTGCAGAGGCCATGTAGCTTCGGGAGCCGCGGTGGGTCGACGAGTAAGGAGGTGGATTATGGCGGAAGCGGCGGCGGAGCAGTGAAGCTGGTGGTTACGGAGTACCTTGTGGTGGATGGTGGTGTTTTGGCTGATGGGGGTGATGGTGGGAGCAAAGGCGGAGGTGGCTCTGGTGGCAGCATCTACATCAAGGCTTACAAAATGTAATCACTCGACCGCTCTCCTTGCTCGTTTTGTTCTATTTAATTGGTTGCTGAGAAATTTTAGGAAGGTCAATTTGGTTTTTGATGTAGAATGATTATTTTGGTTGACGAAAAAAACTTGGAAAAGGAAAGAATTCGAAAATGTTAAATTCCGGACCCTGAATTATAGCATATTTGGCTTGCTCTCTCCGTGTTTTTCTTTTTGGGAGATAGTGGTGGAATGTTGAGGAGAAATTGGAATTTGTTTTCGTCAGCAACCATCTGGTGGTTATAACTTAAAATTATTGATATTAATAACATTATTATTGTTTTGGAATTTTATGGGTTGTGTGCTAGGCGTAGTATGTATCGATTTTGTTTTGTTTTCTGCTAGTGCTATGGAGATACTTTTTTTTGTAGAGCATGTAAATTGGCCTATGTTTTTGGAATCCTATTTGTTCTTTCTGAAAACTTCTGGCGGCCAGTGTCATGCAAGAGAATAAAGCTAAAACTCAAACCAGAGTTTCCTTGTACTTGATTAATATCAACTCCCAAACGACAAGTGCTTATATCCCACTAATAATACAAGAATTTGAAATGGCTGGTAGCCTTTATCCGCTCTGTGAAGAAGGTTGTAGGTTTTTCCCCAGCAGGCTGCTTCCTGTCAGTCTTTAGTCTTCATCCTATAGCAAAATAGCAAAAAACTTTTTGCAATTATTACATAATTCTTTGGTCATCTTCAATGTGACGCGTCAGTGCTAAATAAACTATTTCTTATATTAATTTGAACGTTGGACATCCAATTTTAGGATTTTCATTTTTAATTTTCTTTCTTGTCTTTTGTTACTTGAAATTATTCTTAGCTCGTTGAATTTGGGCATCCCGTTCACGTTTTCCTCTTAGTAAATAAGATAGTAGAATCCACTTGATGCAAAAGAGTGGACATCACTTCATGTAGTTTTGCTACCAGAACTGTCTTAATGAAGGAAAATGAAAGGCAAAATACGAAGCATTGTTGTTGTTGTTGTAACTATGATGCGGAATTATAGTGCATATTGAGAGGAGCAGAAGACAAGTTTTACCAGGGACAAGTGAGTTCCCTTCATACTTCGTTTGTCAGTATTTTCCATACCCACATTGTGATTTGTCAGGACCGTGTAGAGTGGGATTTTTTCTTTGCCCTGTCTGATGCACTGGCCTGTAGAGACCAGAATTGGAATCTGAACATTTTTTTACTCATTCTTATGCATGTATTCTTTTCCGAGCTTTACTGTTATGTTCATCAATGTTCTGATTCTATTGTTTTGTTACATTGTCTATATAAATATTTTACGTTGAGTGATAAGTGTATCCCATTTTTCGATCTCTTAGGCTTCATCCTTTTTTCTTTTTTTTTTCCCATACTATTTTCTGGTGGTTTCCCATTCTGTTAGGCTTTTGGTAGTATGGTCTTTAGCCAATATTTTGGTAAGAAAAAGAGTGAAATACAAATATGATCCAAAATGAAGGTCTCTGACATATTTTATGGGTACTTGTAAAGCAAATTACCTCATTGTTTTTTGTACCTCATTGTGTGCAATAAGTCTTCAGCTATTATCTTTTATCTATTCGGAAACTTGATCTCACACAGATGTAAATCTGTATTTACCTGTTATTAATTTTTGTCTGTGTGCGTGTTCTCTCTCTCTCTCTCTCTCTCTCTCTCTTGTATTAACCAGTCCCTTTAATCTAAATGCTTTATTATGAAGTGCAGGACTGGTAGTGGTCGTATAAGTGCTTGTGGAGGTAATGGTTATGCTGGTGGCGGTGGGGGAAGAGTATCTGTTGATGTATTCAGCAGGCATGACGAGCCCGGAATTTTTGTGCATGGTGAGATTTCCCCCCTTATTGTGCAGCTAACTCCTTTTGACTTGAAATAGGTCTTTTGAACAACCTTAGTTTGAATAACTCAAAGAACAGCTAGCACCAAATTTAAACCTTGAATTTAGTTTGAAAGAACATGCATTATCCTTACTTTCTAGTGTCTCTTCACAATAAAAAAGGAAAACTTGACCATATTTTTCACTCTTCTTTTGTTGTTTGGATACTTTTACTTGGAAATTTTATGGTTGTCCTGATTAGCCCTATGGACGCTTGTGGTTTTTATTGTTAGTGGTGATTGTATTTGGTTACCTGTTCTCTCAAATATACACAGTTGTATTTAGAGGATAACTTTGTTGTACCTGGCTCAGTTTGAATTTGATTTTAAAATGCCATGAGCTAATGATCAAATTTGCAGGAGGAAGTAGTTACACCTGTCCAGAAAATGCGGGTGCTGCTGGGACTTTATATGATGCAGTTCCTAGAAGCCTTATTATTGACAATCATAACAAGTCAACAGATACTGAGACTCTTCTCTTAGACTTTCCCAATCAGCCTCTTTGGACTAATGTTTATGTTCGGAACAGTGCCCACGCTACTGTTCCATTGCTTTGGAGTCGTGTCCAGGTTTGTGCAAATTGAGTTTGTAATTTATACTTACAAAGATCCCTTGTCCGGGTTTACCTCTTTATTACTTTTTCTCCCTCAGTGTTGTTGTTAGCTTCGCTTATGTGTCCGTGTATCTTGTACTTGTATGTAGTTCATGTGCAAAGAATTTAATTAAATCATCCCTTTTCAATGGGTTATGTAGGTACAAGGACAGATCAGTCTTTTATCTGGTGGAGTTTTGAGCTTTGGGCTGCAACATTACGCTTCTTCGGAATTTGAGTTGTTAGCAGAAGAGTTGTTAATGAGCGACTCTGAAATGAGGGTAGGTGATGACTTTGTACATTTCTTTTTGCTTGGTTACATTGTCTGCTTCATTATATAAATGTCAGCAGTTTGATCCTATGTTTGCCATTTTATATTTGTGGAAAGAAATTTAATCTGTGATGCTTATGCTTATGAGCTTTACACTTCATACTGTGTTTACTGTATTACAGCCATCGATTTTCCCTTTTAGGTATATGGGGCATTGCGTATGTCTGTAAAAATGTTCTTGATGTGGAACTCCAAAATGCTTATCGATGGAGGTGGCGATATGAATGTTGCAACTTCCTTACTTGAGGCTAGCAATTTAGTTGTTCTGAAGGTGTTGTACCTACCGCTTTGCAGAATTGAGGAGTATGTTTTAGGGACATATTAATTGGTAACATGCCATCTTTTTCGTAACAGGAATCATCTGTCATACACTCTAATGCAAATCTGGGAGTTCATGGACAAGGCCTACTAAATTTATCTGGACCGGGGGATATGATTGAAGCACAACGCCTGGTTCTGTCCCTATTTTACAGTATCCATGTGAGTCCATTAGCAGGTGTATTTTATTTTATTTTATTTTTTCAGTTTTTCCTTGCTTAAGGTGTGTTAATCTTTTTACTTTTTCCTCTATTTTTTAAGGCTAATTTTTCACACTGTTAGAAATCCCAGCCGTAGTATCTTTTTATTTTCTCATGGCTGTGACACTTTTGTTGTCTGTGAGACGGTTTTCATTTTTTTAAGGGATAAAATCATTTTGGTACCCTCTAGTATAGCAGACAGGTACTCTTTATTTTTACCAATATTAAAACGGTACCTCTAGGTTTTAGAAAATAGATTTTGGTACCGTAAAACCAATTTTTGGTACTTGAAATGTCAATGGTGTGCTTACACTATTTTTTTCATTAAATGGTTCGAAATAACATTATAATTCGAAAAAATACTATACTGATTAAAACCTTGCTAACCAATTTAATGAAAAGACTTTTGTGAGAGAACCCATTGGCGGGAACTTCTTTTATTTAAATTTTTTGTGTAAGAGAAAAGTATTGTAGCAGAATCATAAATGGTTTCAAACGCGTGAACCAAACGGGCGCCCTTAATATCTTACTGTCACTTGAAATCATTGCAATTAGATTGTGAAGATAAAATTATACCTGTTTGTTGAACATGTTTTCTTGTGTTTGCTTGAAGCTTGGGCCTGGATCTGCTTTGCGCGGTCCCTTGGAGAATGCGAGTACTGATTCTGTGTAAGTTTGATTTTTGGTTTTATCGCCAATTTGGCGGAATATATATTTTTTTTAATGAGAAACGAACTTTATTTAAAAATACCCAGAAAAAAGTATTGAGAACAAAAAGTTGGCTTAGTTTTCAAACCTGCTAACTTTGTCAGTTAGCAGTTCCAAACCTGTTTTTGGGAACTGGATTAGTGGAGGATAACTCTTCCTCTCTGTTCCTTGTTCCTTCTTTCTTTATAAATAAAAGTTTTCGTTTCTTTTCAAAAAAAAAAAAAAAAAAACTGCTAACTTTGTCCCTCTCTCAATTTCTAGGACACCAAAGTTATATTGCGAAAGTCAAGATTGTCCCTTTGAACTACTTCATCCACCAGAAGATTGCAATGTGAACTCATCATTATCCTTTACTCTTCAGGTGATTATCAATTCATGAAGTATTGGGGTTTGTTCATGTAATTATATTTGATAGTTACTTTTTTTTTTCCCGGTTTGCGTCAGATATGCCGTGTAGAGGATATCACTGTTGAAGGCCTTGTAAAAGGATCTGTTATTCATTTCCACAGGGCAAGAACTATTGCTGTCCATTCGTCTGGATCAATAAGTGCATCGAGAATGGGTATATTTCCTTTACTTTTTTGGTCCTGAAGAGAAGTCTTAACCTTTTTTCCCCTTCTAATCATAATTCCAATTTGGTGCTTCCCCATACCAAATGACAGAGACAAAGATTTATACGTAGAATTTGCAACATGATTTCGATGGTGATATGATGGGTTCTATATGATCCATCTCATGTTGAAGAAACTTAAAAACGAGCAGACTTTGAATGCTGTAATACATTTTTCTTCTAGGTGGAAGTTGACAATTTTCTGTGTTGAACAGGCTGTACAGGTGGAATTGGCAGAGGTAGTGTTCTGAGCAATGGGATTTGGAGTGGTGGTGGGCATGGTGGTAGAGGTGGACGTGGATGTTATGATGGGACTTGTATTAGGGGTGGCATATCATATGGAAATGCAGATTTGCCATGTGAACTTGGCAGTGGAAGTGGAAATGACAGTTCCGCTGGTTCTACTTCTGGTGGTGGTATCATAGGTAAGCTATTTTATCAGTCAGTCTGACAATTTTTTCTGCCTTCTGCGTTTGTTGGCTAAGAAATTTACATTTTGTTAGTTTACCAATCCATCCCAAAAGCTTAAGTTGTTAGGAGGTGAGCCAACAATAGTTTTATACTTTAACACTCCCCCTCACGTGTGGGCTGAACAATGGGCAATCGTGTTGGTAAATTAATTAGAAAAGCCCAATACGTGAATATTTAAGCCCGAGATATAAAGAGTGCTATTACGGGGGTTTGAACCCAGGACCTCCCACTCTAATACCATGTTAGTTTTACCAATCCATCCCAAAAGCTTAAACTGTTAGGAGGTGGGCCAATAATAGTTTTATACTTTAACTCATTTCTATTTTAAGCTTGTCCCTAGGACCGTAAAGAGCACAACCGTTCAATAAATTTATTGAAGTTCTAAACAAATATATTTTTTTCCTTATAAAATGACGTGGCGAGTATTCTAAGTGCATGGACATAGTGTCTTTATCATCTAATCTTCCCCGCCCTTTCCCCATTTGATACATGTGATTTCCTGAGCAGTAATGGGTTCCATGGAGCATCCCTTGTTTACTTTGTCCATTGAAGGCTCAGTAGAAGCTGATGGAGAAAGTTCTGAAGGAACTAGCAGAAAGGGGAAATATGCTGTTGTAGATGGCCTTATTGGAGGTCCCGGGGGTGGATCTGGTGGAACGATACTTATGTTTTTGCATATAATTGCTCTTGGTGACTCTGCTACTCTTTCTAGTATCGGCGGATATGGTAGTCCTAATGGTGTTGGCGGAGGTGGTGGTGGAAGAATTCACTTTCATTGGTCAGACATTCCTATTGGAGATGTGTACCAGTCGATTGCAAGTGTGAAAGGAAGCATCAATGCGGGGTTCGTATCTAACCTGTTTAAATGCCACGTATTTCTCCTGGTCCTTGGATACAGTTTGTGTTTATTTATGCATTAAAGCTGATATTTATATTGTGTTTTACATCAGTTGATGTTTGCCTTGGGTATCTGGTTTATAAGCTACCTTATTATGTAACAGAACTAGCTTTCTGAAATCTTCAGCGTGATGATTATTCTTCTATTCATTAATTTTCTTATAACCCAGACGTTTTTTTTTTTTTTTTTTGCTCAGTGAAGGACGTTAGGAAATGTAAAACTTTATTGCCTTCTTTGGTTGAGGGTTGACATCTTTGTTTGTTTTATTATTGAAGGGGAGGGGTGAGTAAAGGCGAGGGATGTTCTGGAGAAAATGGGACGGTGACTGGGAAAGCTTGCCCAAAAGGGCTCTATGGGATATTTTGTGAGGTATGCTTTATATGTTAAGGATATTCTGATGAATCTTGTGCGCCTAAGCCATTTCATTTACTTAAAAACAGTTTAATTCTGATTATCTTTTGTATTAGTGTTGTAGTTTTTTAGGCCTTGTGGTTCTTGTTCTTGTAAGAAACGTTTCTTTGACTTGAGTTTTCTCTTGGAATTAACATCAAGTACCATTTTGTGTTGGAAAATTTTTCGGACGTTCATTTGCTCTACTTCATTATGTGGGTGTCTGTAAAATTTCTTTTGTAATTCATTAAAACAGATATATTCTTCCGTAATGAGAACTGGGAAACCTCATTTTGCAACATATGATGCAGAAGTTCTAAACTTGTATAGTCACAGCGGTTACAGCAGCCTTTTCTGCTCCATCTTTCTCTTTCTGCTTGCAAGGTTTTTCCTCTTGGGTTTGAATGCAGGATCCATTGGGAAGGACTGGATTTTATATTTGTAGCTGAGTTATTTCCATAGGGACATTTGTTCTCTTTACTAATGATAATTAGGAGTGAGCTCTTCTTTAGGGGATAAATTTATTATTTTTTTGGTTCGTCTCCAGGAATGTCCTGTTGGAACTTATAAGAATGTTAGTGGATCTGAAAGGGATCTTTGCCGTCCTTGCCCAGCTGAAGCGCTTCCCAACCGTGCTGTTTACACATATGTCCGAGGTAATTATAAGCTTCTGGTGCTAAATTTGTTGTACGAGGTAGAAAATAACTGGCGTCGGAATTTTTTTTGATAGGCAATCATTGGTTGCTTCCAACTCCACATGCTTCATAGCTTGTTATTCATTGATAAAATATAAATATATGTCTACAAGAGTCTGCGGTTAATATGTCATCTACAGTTTGGGTTCTTTTGGTTTTCCTGATGGGGGCCATCCGCGTAAGCAGTCAGACCATGTAGCCATAATGTTATGGGCTTCCAAAAACAAATATATAAAAAAAAAAGAAGACTAAGAAAACGAGATGTATTCTGCATTTAAATCCAGCAAGCAACCAGCGGCTTGCATGTAGGTTTCTTTATTCAGAAAAGAAGAATAAAAGGGAGGAAAAAAAAAAAGAGGGTTGCTCACAGCAGCGCCAATTCAGTTTACTCTTCTTCTTTTCTTTCTCTTCTCCCTTCTCCTGCGTACCACCTTTACCACCTTTTCTTCTCTCTCTCTCTCTCTCTCTGTTGGTTAAGAAACGAGAAAATTTTATTAACAAAATTGAAAAGTTGTACAGCAGGGGACAAGGAGTCCACCAAAAACAATATACAAAACACTAAATCCCAGACTCTCTTTTCTTCTTCTTCTTCTTTCTTTTTCTTTTTCTTTTCTTTTTTTTTTATTTTTATTTTTTATAAATATGTTGCCGATTGCAGTTACTGGCAACTTTTTTTTCTCTTCTAACTTCTTGGCTTTCCTTTTTTCTCTTGATGTTGGACGCTTTGATACTAAGCTGCACTTGCACTGCATGTGCAGCATATTCTACGCTTGTAAACTTACGAATTGTTGTTTACTTACGAGTACAACATGGAAATCTGAGAGAAAAGAGTTAAAACACCAATGATCAATTGTTTAACTTTTCTTATGCTATTATGTTATGCAGTTTGTTATTTGAAATTCTAGCTTAATAAATATTCTATGAGATCCCATTAAAAAAAAATTATGAGATTATTCATGAATCAGATGATGGTTAGGCCTTTTCCTCACAAGGTCAAAACGACTTTAATACCTGAACAGCTTTTCAAAACATCTCAACTAACCTCCTTTTTGTCTCTTAATAGGTGGTGTTGCTGAGACTCCTTGTCCTTACAAATGCGTTTCAGACAGATACCACATGCCACACTGCTATACAGCTCTTGAGGAGTTGATTTACACATTTGGTGGGCCGTGGCTATTTGGTCTCCTCCTTGTTGCTCTCCTAATACTTTTAGCTCTGGTGTTAAGTGTTGCACGTATGAAATTTGTTGGGGTCGATGAGTTACCAGGCCCTGCTCCCACTCAACATGGCTCTCAAATAGACCACTCATTTCCATTCCTCGAGTCCTTAAATGAGGTTTTTCTTTATATTTGTCTTTGTTCGTTAAAGAAATTACTGTTTCACCGGCATCTGCTGTCTTCTTTCCTCTTCCATGCTTTCTAGATTTATGGATGGGTATCTTGATTTTAGGTGTTGGAAACAAATAGAGTGGAGGAATCCCAGAGCCATGTGCATAGAATGTACTTTATGGGTCCTAATACTTTCAGTGATCCATGGCATCTTCCCCATTCACCACCAGATCAAATAAAGGAGATTGTGTAAGCCAACTTCTCTTCTTGTGATTTGTGTATGTAGTACTGCTGTCAAGTATAAGCAAATTTAATAAATGGATTCGTTTCTCTTTGTTAATTATGTGATGGCTTAGGATTTGCCTTCTAACTCATTCAGTCTGGCAGATATGAGGTTGCATTCAATACGTTTGTGGATGATATTAATGCCATAGCTGCTTATCAGTGGTGGGAGGGAGCCGTCTACAGCATTCTCTCTGTTTTTGTGTATCCCCTTGCATGGTCATGGCAGCAATGGCGCCGGAGATTGAAATTGCAGCGTCTCCGTGAGTTTGTTCGTTCAGAATATGATCATTCTTGTTTACGGTCTTGCCGTTCACGTGCTCTCTATGAAGGGATCAAGGTTTGTGTTCCAAAATTATAGGTTGAATTCGTTATGGCTAACATAAACCTTTTTGAATCTCATTTGTATATCACCTGTGACAGATTTCCATTTTAGATTGTTCTCCCTAATGATTTTGAACGCTGTAGGTAGCTGCAACTTCTGATTTAATGCTAGCATATCTTGACTTCTTCCTTGGTGAAGATGAAAAGAGAAATGATCTTCCTCGCTTACATCAGAGGTATCCAATTTCATTACCTTTTGGAGGTGATGGAAGTTACATGGCTCCTTTTTTACTTCACAGCGATAATGTGGTTACAAGCCTTATGAGTCAGGTTTGTCTATTGGTGCTTACGAAATTGATGTCAAATTTGCGAAGTATGCATTCCTGAATGCATGAGAGAGCCTAACCATCCTTTTTATCTTGTAGTTGCTGTAGAAATGTATTCTTAATTATGTTGTCCTTGCAGGCTGTCCCACCTACGACATGGTATCGTTTTGTTGCTGGTCTAAATGCACAATTGAGATTAGTTCGTCGTGGGCGGTTAAGAGTAACGTATCGACCCGTCCTTAGGTGGCTTGAAACTTTTGCAAATCCTGCTTTGAGGATCCATGGCATACGCGTTGCTCTTGCCTGGTTTCAGGCCACAGCTTGTGGTTATTGTCATTATGGACTTTTAGTGGATGCTGTTGATGAAGGGAGCAACTGGACATCCGTCAGAAGTGTTGATGGAGCATTACGAACTGCACAACAGTCACAGTAATAATTTTAAAACTGTCATCTTTATTGGAAATCGTATAGTAAAGAGTGCCTTACTAGTTGATTTGGACTATGAATGCTCTTATAACTTTTCTCTGTTTCTTCAAAAAAAGAATGCTCAACAAATGATAAAGATACATTATGGCTAAATATTGGATAACGGGGTAAAATCGTAAACAGATGTACTCATAAATATGATGGGGGTGTGGCAAGGGGGACGATAACTGGATTGGTAAGGCAAACAATGTTTCGGGTTACGCATTTATATGACATAGCAAAAACAAACTTTGTCGCCACTGAAATTTGACTTTCTAGCTCTTTTTGCTTTAACCTTTGTATGCATGTACTTACATATGTTCATATCCGATGCTGGTCTTCCAGCAACAGCAAAAGAAAACAAAAATACTAATAAAGGAAATAAAAGAAAAGTGGGATAATGGTTTGAGGCTTCTTTTTTTTTCATCTTTTATTTACAGTGCGAAGAGCATTTTTGAAGATAATCTATCTGGTCATATAAGAGAGGAAACACAATTAAACCAAGCTCACAGAAACGATGGGAGTTATACAAGGCCAAAAAGAGCATATGGAGGGATACTAGATGCTAACAGTTTGCAGATACTTGAAGAGAAGAGAGATATGTTTTATCTTCTCTCTTTTATACTTCACAATACTAAGCCCGTTGGACACCAGGTATTTGTAATGCTGATAACAGCTGAGTAATTTGTATGCTACTATCGAATCTCATTTCTTAAACGTTATACCATTCTCTGCTGTGTTTCTTAGACATATTTTGTCTGACTGCAGGATCTTGTCGGCTTAGTCATCTCAATGCTACTTTTAGGGGATTTTAGCTTAGTGTTGCTTACGTTTCTCCAGTTATATTCATTTTCGCTGGTGGACGTCTTTCTGGTTTTGTTTATTTTACCCTTTGGAATTCTTCTTTCTTTCCCTGCTGGAATTAATGCTCTATTCAGCCACGGACCGAGGCGTTCTGCAGGCCTTGCACGAGTATATGCTCTCTGGAACTTGACATCTTTAGTCAATGTTGTAAGTTGCAGTTTTTATCGGTTAGAAATCAGTCCAGTGTTAATACCTATTTATCTCCATTTTCTCTTAGCAAAGGGGGAAAAATGCATTTTTAGTTCCATTTTCTTCTTTAATTTTCCTCGGCTGAGTTGTTGAGACTACATGCCCAAGAAGTGAAACTTAATATGATGTTCTTTATTTTACTTGGTCATCTTCTCTACAACCCAATGGACATTGCCTTTTTGATATCCAGCAATCCCCTAATCCACTTTTTGAGCCCGAGTTTGAAACATTATTAGTTTTCATCAATGGACATTATTAGTTTCATTTGGTTATATATATATATATATATATTTATACTGGCCTGGAAAAATAAACGTTAACATAAAAAGTCTTCTGATTCTTGTAACAGGTGGTTGCTTTTCTTTGTGGATATGTTCACCATAGGACTCAATCATCAAGTAAAAAGCACCCTAGTATCCAGCCTTGGAGTATTAGCATGTGAGAGATTCTACTGCCAAAAGCTTCATCCTTTCATTTAGGTCCAGCCATTTTTTTTTAACTGTTCTGTTTCATGATAATTGTGATTACAGGGATGAAAGTGAATGGTGGATTTTTCCGACCGGTCTTGTTTTGTGTAAAATCTTTCAATCTCAACTCATCAATTGGCATGTGGCAAATCTGGAGATTCAAGACCGTTCCTTGTACAGCAGTGATTTTCAGCTGTTCTGGCAGTCATGATAAATATTCGACTACAAGATAAACTCATTAACATGCTCTTTTTTTTTCCTCTTTCATTTGGTTCTCCAGTCACTGTTATTTTTCCTTTTAGTCTTATGTTGAGCGTAGGTGAGTGATTGACAAAGAGTAAAGAGAGAATTGAAATCGCAAAGCAAAAAAAAAAAAAAAAAAAAAAAAAGGGTTGGATAGATAAACAGAGATATTCAATACTGTAATCACTTTTCAGCAATGTGCAGTTGGTTATTCCTACCATGTAAATATTGAGCGGGTTACCCCACTATGATTTAGAGACATATTGAGATGGACACATTCATTATTGTAATAACCTTTTTTGCCAACACTTTCCCTATAATTCGGTCCTTGGTTAACTTTTTGAATGTAATGAAACTTTCCTGGGCCGAAAGAGTAATGACAGTGAAAATCATTTTGATATGCAATGTTTTGCCTTTAATTCTCCTTTTTATTATTGTTATTATTTTGCTTGTGCATATGGTCGCATGAAACATGCCATCTACCTACAGTTCTGCTCCACAATTCACCCCGCGATTGAATCTCAAGGATAACATTTTACGCATCTCCAAGTTACAGCATCTCTCTCTCCCTGTAATTCTGTTCTGTTATAAATATCAGGGATAGAAGGTATACGCCTCCAACACTGAAATCCTGGGTTTGCTTAGTGGGACTCTGTAACTTTTTAACTATATTCTAAAAGACTAAATCTTTGTTGCTAGAGGAACCAAATGCTGGTCTGCTGATCTCTCAATGAGAGGATTGTTCCAATTGTCTAGAATCTGAAGTTACCCAAAAAAAAAAAGCACACACACACACACACAAAGGGCCTCGATGGAAATGCCGCATAAAATTAAGCATGATTTTGCTAATTTTTACAGGCGTTTTCCGCTTGTTGTTTTATCAGGGCCTTTTATACACTGGAAAGGGAAGCAATAGAATGTTGGGGAAACAACAAACAACAAAAAACCAACATATTGCCATTAGAACGAAAAAGAGACGCTCCGCTGAAGAAACATTAATAAAATACCCAATATGTGTGTGAGAGAGAAAAGACGAGGACCACCAAAAAGGACTCTATTCCTTGTTCAAGACTATGGGAACTTTAATGTATGGCTCCACATAGTTTGGAACCTCAGCAATCATGGCCTCCCTGTTCATAACAAAACAAGACTAAATGTAACACATTTCCAACAAAATCCAAGCACAATTTTGGTAATTCAATGTTTCAAGTTTTGAACTGCAAGTTCACAACAAAAGACCCTCTTTACCTGTTCTCAAATGTCTGTGGGACATCATCTCTCAAATTGTCACCTTCGGTATCTACAAAAAAACTCCAACAAAACCAAACTCAGACAATAATATATATATATATATATATAGGAAAAAGAAACATGTTAAGCTATACAGATAATTTCAACTCAAGCAAACAATGCCCAGTTATTCCCATTATCCATAAGCAAAATTTCAACATTAAAAAAAAAAAGAAAAGTATTGAAGCACCTGCTCTAATTGCAGGCTCAACACTTTGGAGATCAACTGCTTGAAGTTGTCCAAACCTGTTTCATTCCAATCCATAATTACAAGTATTAATCACTACCATTATTTATGCTAACCCAAAATTTGAAGTCGAGAATGTTAAGGAATGAAAAGTCATTCAATGCACAAAGTCAGGGATCTTCCAATCATCTCAGTCAACTATCATAAATTCTAATTGATTTGTTTACATTTATGTATTAGTGTGAATAGACAATGACAGTGTATATGCTTTATTCTAGGATCTAAATTGATGTCCGTATGGTGTATATATTCGCTTCTCTTTCAATAAAAACATAACAAGAAATTCATTCTTTCTTTACATGGTATCAGAGCAATCACGGTTCTGAAACTCTTGTTTTTTTTTTTTTCTTCTCACATCCACGAAATTGTCCATCTTCTTCTGGCCAATACACATGACAGGAAAAGACGAAACTCAAAACTCAGCCAAGTCTGAGGCCAACAAGTTTGATAATCCAAACGATCCTCTTTACCTTCATTATTCTGATCAACCTGGGCTTATACTCGTCACACAACCGTTGAATGGAGAAAATTACAGCACCTGGAGCCGTGCTATGCTCATGGCTCTCAACATCAAGAATAAAGAAGGCTTCGTCAATGGCACCATCAAAGAACCACCGGAGACTTCCACCACAAAACTCCAACAATGGAGGCGCTGCAACAATCTTGTAAAAGCATGGCTTTTTAATTCAATCTCACAAGAGATTGGAGCAAACATAATATACAATGAAAGTGCTCAAGAAATCTGGCTTGATTTAAAAGAACGTTTTTCACGTACTAACAGTGTTCATCTTTTTCATGTTGAAGAAGCCATACATGATTGTAAACAGGTTAGCATGACTATTGGGGCTTATTACACCAAGCTTAAAGGTCTATGGGATGAACGTGATGCACTCTGTAGCATTCCCAAATGCACATGTGGTGCTATGAAGGACGTTTTGCAGTTCCAACAAAATCAAAAGACCATGAAATTTCTCATGGGACTCAATGAAGTCTACGCCAGTGTTAGAGGACAGATTCTGCTCATGGATCCACTTCCTACCATCAACAAAACTCATTCCCTCATCCTCCAAGATGAAAAACAACGAGGAAAATCGAATGAAGATGCACCACTCGCCGAAGCCTTGGCTTTTGCTGTGAAGAACAACCCACGAAAATCTGAGAGGCTTTTCACACCTAAAAATCCCCATCTGAAATGTGGAACATGTGACAAAATTGGGCATACTTTAGAGACATGTCGAGCACACCTCAAATGTGATTATTGTGGCTGGCAAGGTCACACCGTTGATGTCTGTCGTAAGTTGCAAAAGACGAATTCTACAGGCAACAAACCTTAGCGCAAGAATTTTTCCTCCAAGGCCAACCATGCAGATGCCAATCTTTTGTGCCTCTGTTATTGACAAAGAAATATGCTGGATTCTCGACACAGGAGCCACAGATCACATGGTTTACTCAGCTGACTTGTTGACCACCAAATCTCGTGTCACCAATCGAACCGTGCACCTACCAAATGGAGCCATTGCTACTGTCACACACATAGGCAGCATCCATTTTGCTAATTTCATCCTGCATGATGTGCTTTGTGTTCCTTCCTTTAAATTAAACTTGATTTCCATTAGCAAGCTTGTGCACAATTCCTACTATCTTGCCACATTCACTAATAGTACTTGTATGCTACAAGACCAACGATCGGGGAAGATGATTGGGACGGGAACTGAGCGAGGAGGACTCTACTACCTTGATACTCCACAGAAAATTGGGTGTAATGCAGTCACCGTACCAACCTCTTGTTCCTCGAGACTTTGGCATCAACGCCTTGGTCATCCATCAAATAAGACTTTCAGTTTGCTTTCTCATTCAATTACAGACATGAAATTTTGTAATATTTCGGATTGTTTAATTTGCCCATTAGCTAAACAAACTCGTTCTCCATTTTCAATAAGTTCCATTCGCACTAAAGCACCTTTTGAACTAATCCATGTTGATATTTGGGGAGGGTACCATGTTCCTTCAATTACAGGGGCACAATATTTTCTTACAATCGTTGATGATTATACTCATTGCACATGGACTTATTTGATGCATCATAAATCAGATACTCATTCATATGTCACTAAATTCATCAACTTTGTTGAAACACAATTCTCCTTGAAAGTCAAAGTTCTTCGAAGTGATAATGGGCCTGAATTTACAATGAGGAATTTTTATTTAGATAAAGGTATCATTCATCAAACTAGTTGTGTCTCCACTCCACAACAAAACGGAGTAGCCGAAAGAAAACATCGCCATCTCCTCAATGTAGCCCGAGCCTTATTATTCCAAGCCAATCTTCCTAAGAGGTTTTGGGGAGACGCCATCTTGACTGCTACCTACCTCATTAACCGAACTCCCACACCTCTCCTTCAAGGAAAAACACCTTCCGAAATGCTTTTTCACAAACAGCCCGTATATGACCATTTACGAGTGTTCGGATGTTTGTGTTTTGTCTCAACACATCACCAGCGTCCCACCAAATTTGATCCCAGAGCCACACGATGTCTTTTCTTGGGATATCCATATGCTCAAAAAGGTTATAGGGTTTATGACCTTTCAACTGGTAAAATTTTTGTTTCACGTGATGTTATTTTTCATGAGGATATGCGAGGAAAATCGAATGAAGATGCACCACTCGCCGAAGCCTTGGCTTTTGCTGTGAAGAACAACCCACAAAAATCTGAGGCTTTTCACACCTAAAAATCTCCATATGAAATGTGGAACATGTGACCAAATTGGGCATACTTCAGAGACATGTCGAGCACACCTCAAATGTGATTATTGCGGCTGGCAAGGTCACACCGTTGATGTCTGTCGTAAGTTGCAAAAGACGAATTCTACAGGCAACAAACCTGAGCGCAAGAATTTTTCCTCCAAGGCCAACCATGCAGATGCCAATACACCAACATCTTCCAAACCATTCACTCTCACAGGAGAACAATATCAAAATCTCATGACACTACTTGCTGGGAATAAGTCTAATTCGATGGCCAATCATGTCGGTAGTGCATCTGCCATAAGTGATCTCTTAGGTACAATCTTTTGTGCCTCTGTTATTGACAAAGAAATATGCTGGATTCTCGACACAGGAGCCACAGATTACATGGTTTACTCAGCTGACTTGTTGACCACCAAATCTCGTGTCACCAATCGAACTGTGCACCTACCAAATGGAGCCATTGCTACTGTCACACACATAGGCAGCATCCATTTTGCTAATTTCATCCTGCATGATGTGCTTTGTGTTCCTTCCTTTAAATTAAACTTGATTTCCATTAGCAAGCTTGTGCACAATTCCTACTATCTTGCCACATTCACTAATAGTACTTGTATGCTACAGGACCAACGATCGGGGAAGATGATTGGGACGGGAACTGAGCGAGGAGGACTCTACTACCTTGATACTCCACAGAAAATTGGGTGTAATGCAGTCACCGTACCAACCTCTTGTTCCTCGAGACTTTGGCATCAACGCCTTGGTCATCCATCAAATAAGACTTTCAGTTTGCTTTCTCATTCAATTACAGACATGAAATTTTGTAATATTTTTGATTGTTTAATTTGTCCATAGCTAAACAAACTCGTTCTCCATTTTCAATAAGTTCCATTCGCACTAAAGCACCTTTTGAACTAATCCATGTTGATATTTGGGGAGGGTACCATGTTCCTTCAATTACAGGGGCACAATATTTTCTTACAATCGTTGATGATTATACTCGTTGCACATGGACTTATTTGATGCATCATAATCAGATACTCATTCATATGTCACTAAATTCATCAACTTTGTTGAAACACAATTCTCCTTGAAAGTCAAAGTTCTTCGAAGTGATAATGGGCCTGAATTTACAATGAGGAATTTTTATTTAGATAAAGGTATCATTCATCAAACTAGTTGTGTCTCCACTCCACAACAAAACGGAGTAGCCGAAAGAAAACATCGCCATCTCCTCAATGTAGCCCGAGCCTTATTATTCCAAGCCAATCTTCCTAAGAGATTTTGGGGAGACGCCATCTTGACTGCTACCTACCTCATTAACTGAACTCCCACACCTCTCCTTCAAGGAAAAACACCTTCCGAAATGCTTTTTCACAAACAGCCCGTATATGACCATTTATGAGTGTTCGGATGTTTGTGTTTTGTCTCAACACATCACCAGCGTCCCACCAAATTTGATCCCAGAGCCACACGATGTCTTTTCTTGGAATATCCATATGCTCAAAAAAGTTATAGGGTTTATGACCTCTCAACTGGTAAAATTTTTGTTTCACGTGATGTTATTTTTCATGAGGATATTTTTCCTTTTCCATCTTCCGCTGCAGACTCACCTCCAATACTTTATCATTCATCAACATATGATGATGACAATCCCACTCCAC